CTCTTAATTTATTATCTTCACTGATGTAAAGCTAAATGCAGTATTGATGTAAAGCTAAACACAACATTGATGTGAATTAAACGTAAATGTAAAGTGATCCTCTTTATATTATTAGGATATTTTAGATAGTAAATTTTACGTGTATTAATGTCAATGATTATCATTTGAATATAACATTATGTATAACCAAATAATTAAGTATGTTGATTGTGCATTGTTATCATAATATATATTTAAATGGATTAATTGAAAGAATATTTTTATTAGATATAATAAATGAATGAGTACAAAAATATGTGAAAGTAAGTAAACCTCAAGTTCAAAGTGTAATTTTAGTGTAAATGAGGAGTTGATTAAGTCTCATTTAAAATGTATATATGAGCTATGAACGAAAATTATTTTTCTTTTCAATGATAATAAGTTTTTTTGACAATTGTATTTCTAAAGTTATATTTTATTCAAATTAATAAATTATGAAGTATCATTAAGACCAATATGAGTTTAATTTAGAATAATAATTAAGGTGAATTCGATATAAGGTCACTGCAATGTGTTAAATAATATAAAACTATTATTAAAGTGTTCTTTTGATAATATTATGGAGCTTAATGATTGTGATAATGTATTTGATTCAATAATATTAGGAGCATCTCGATCTCGAGTGATAATTATTTATTGTGATGTTTAAATAAAGTGTTAATGACATAAATAAATAAATAAATTTATTTATAGTCATTTATTGTGATGTTCAACTTCTTTTTTAATTATAAATCATTTATTAAAAAACTCTTCTTCTTTTTTTCAATTTGAAATCACATTCAAATTGTTTCCCTAACAAACTCACATTCCATCTAAATATGCGGATTTTTATTTTTATTTTAAAGTGTTTTATAAATAGCAAATAATGTGGTTATTTAAATACTTATTCTTCAATATTAATACTAAAAATACTAAATAGTTATTTAAAGTTTTGAACGGTTAAAACATTTTATTAATATTATAATTAATGAAGTCACAGAGAAATATATAAGATGTATTTCACTATAGAACCTTTGAATTTAAGTTTCCAAACTATTGTTTAAACAATAGAAAAATATGTGCAAACTAATTAAAATATACTATTTTATTTTTTTGTCTTTAGTAGTAAATACATTGTATTACTTATGTTTTATATTATAAAATTTCTGACATATTTTTCAAGACATGGTTGTTTTTGTTGTCCCCACTCATTTTTTATCTAATGTTTTAAATTTATTGTTTTTAAATTAAAATTATCAAATAATTTTGTTTAACTTATTTTTTATATATATTATAATTTTTTAAATTGAAAAATAAATTGTTACTTAAAAAACTATTATAATAGTTGATATCGCGTAAGAAAAAAATAAATTTTATATATATATATATAAAGTAAGTGAAAATTTATGTCTAGCTGTCTTTTAAAGTCATTTTGAAAAATTGATTTTTTTAATATTATTGTTGTTTTAGTTTTTTTTTTTTTAATATTTTGTCATCTTGGTGAAACTCATGTGAGACCATTTTTCATGAATTCAAAATAAAAAATGTCTATAATATTACAATACTATCATTATCTTCTATTCTTGCATAAACCCGTCTTAACTATGTTAAAGTTATTTTCTATTGAATTAAAAAAATTTATCACTTGAAAAACATTTGTAATCAATCCATCCACCGGGATAGATTGTTGGTTTTAGATGAGCCGAATTAGTATGTTGACTCACTTAAAAAAATATTTATACATTAAAATTAAAATAAAAAGAATTATAATTAAAAATATTATATTTTTTTATTATGTTATTAAAATATATAAATATATTATAATTTAATTTATAAAAAATAATTAATTAAATATAAATTATTAATTATAATGAGTTATTTTGCCACATAAATATAATAATTTTTAATTTATTTAATAAAAATATTAATTAATAAAATTTTAAAATTATTCATATAATTAAATATATTTTTTAAAATACATATAAAAAAATTTATGTATAAAAAAAATTATTGACCGACTGAGGAGACGAGTTATGGTTTGTAACCATCTTAACTATAGATTAACCCACCTCGCACCCTTCTTTATGGGCTACATCCATTTGGTGTGATCTTTATTAAAATATGTTATTCATAATTCATAAACTCAACAATAACTATCATATTTTAAATTTTATTAGATAGCTAATATCATCTCCATTATTCATCAAATTAAAAATTCAAACACAATAGACATATTCATTGAATTTACACGTTTTAACTAACAACTTAAACACTAATACTAAACCACAATCAAGAAATTTAGTTAAGAGATCAATATATAAAAATTAATTATCATATCAAAATAAATATATTATATAAAATATTCATGTTCAACCTTATTAATTGAATTTAAATTTAAAAAAGTAAAGTTTTTAATCGTGTATCTCTCTTTTAATTTAAAAAAAAAATGAGTCTATAATTTTATTTTTAGATATATTTAATACTCAACCTAATATTTTTTTTCATACTTTAACATCAAAATAAAGCATCATACTACATTAAAATAATTAACTAATTTATAACCAATAAAAAATTTTATATCAATATTTTATATTTTTATATTATACTCCATATACTAATGTGCTATAATAATAAAAAATAAAATAAAAATAATGATATAAAAAGGTATGATAAATCCTAAAGTAAAGAACAAAACTTATCATTTTTATGTTATAAAAATTAAACTATACAAATGAAAAATTTGAAAACTATAAAGAAAAACTTATAAATTTTATGAAAGAAAAAAATATATGAAAGTGAATAAATTAGAAACATATATAAATGTGAAGAGACAAAATGGAAGTCTCATAAAAATTGAAGTGAAAAAAAAAATGAAAAAGTGAAAGAAAAAAAATATAAAGATAAAAAAAAAAGAGAAATGTAAGTAAAAATTATATAAAAAAAGTAAATATAATATATACAATAAATAAAAATTTAGGAAAAAAATAAAAGTTTTAAACTTTATTTATATTTATAAAATAATTTTTAATTTTTTAAAATACTTATTATATGAAAAAAAAAAAATTGGTGGACTCATAATTGTGCTGACCCCTTTAAAATCAAAACAAAAAGGGGTGAACCCTCCAAAACAAACATCTTTCCGAACAACCCATTTTATTAATATAATAATAAAAAAATTTAATAAAAATAATTTTAAATTATTATTATAATATTATAATCCATTGTATATGGAATGTTAGCTGGAATTCCGGTATCAAATTAGTTTTTCTCCAAAAACAAATTCTTTAAGAACATTTCTCAAGCACACCATACACAACTTTTTTTTTTTTTAAATCAAATAAACTAAAATCAACTTTAAATGAAAAATTTCAAGGAGAACTCAAATAACATAATATTTAATAATTCTATAACCAACGCTTCATTCATGTCGTTTACTCTAAGACATTACTATGATTCAAACTACCTTCCTTTACTTGGAATAATTTTGTAAAGATGTTAATAAAATTATTTGATTGCAAATTTGGATTTTAAGTATTAATTTAGATATTACTTAATTATTTAATGGAAATTTATTAAGATTATAACGGAGTCTTTGGAAATAAAAGTGAAAGAAATTCTTAAAGTTCAAAAACATATATTAAGGGAAAGAATAAATTGTTAAAAAACATAAATTAGCAGTAGAAAGAAACTTACAGAAAATTAATAAAAATGGTAATCCAAGTCAAAAACTTTCTTGAATTTTTCTTTTCTCTTTTTCCAATCATTATTCAGAATACAAGTTTTTTAATATAATTTATCATCTAATTTCTACTTATTTAATCATATTTATATTTATTATTATAAATAAAAATAAAATAATAATAATGAAAAACGATTTCTTTCCTATCAATACACTTGATATTATAAATGTTTAGGTCAAATTATAAAATTATAACCATTTCATATCTCTATTCTCTTCTTAATTTTTTTTATTGAATTTCTGAATCTTTATCGATTTATAGGAGTAATAGAATTAACTTGTCTTCTTATTATTTTTAATACTCAAATCTTCAATCCCTTTCTATATTTAATTTGGACCTTTAGTCCTATTATCTAACTCAAATATTTTCTTAACTTTGGGTTCTTTCTAAATTTGTATATAAGAGTATTCAATCTAAGTTGTTATGTTTTGCTATATTTTAGGAGTTAGTTATATGTTTTTGTTCATTTTGGTACAACCTATTTTAAAATAACTTTTTTTTTTCATTAAATAAAAGAGCAATAATCCTCTCAAACAGCTTCTCTTTCATTTTTTTTATTTCTGCTGTTTATATAACAATATGCTTATGTCAAAGAATTTTTTAATAATAATAGTAGTAAATATTTATGTAGAGAATGAGATGCGAAGTTAGAAAAAAGAAAAAAGAAAAATATAAACAAAAAAATAGAAAAAAAATGACCAAAGTTAATTTAAATTTATTTTATCCAATAGTTTTAACTTTTTTTTTAATTATAATTCTCTTATTATACTCTTTAAAGAAAACAGAAACAAAACGTTTAGGTTCTTTTATTACAACTCCAAAAACAGAAAGTGCTATATAAACATTTTTTAGGAAACTAATAACTCCATTAAAATATTATTTTAAAAAGGTAAAATAAACAATTGAACTAAAACATGATCTAATCCAAACTTTTCAGTTATGTTTGTTTTATCATCTTCATCATGTCGGGAATCTAAACAAATCAGACATCCCAACAACGGCTATTTTACTGGTTACGCCCTGTGAACCATCTCCCAACGGTCACATTTTAATCTCCCCACGCTCCCACACCACCACCATCCTATATATATATATATATATATATTCCCAAACACACAACATAACTTCATCAGACAGACACTTTCACATTTTCACAACATAAACACGCATCAAACAGTTGTTGGGGTTGAATCTTCAAAACTTCCTCCTACCAATCCGAATCATTGTTAAATCTCTAACACCATGAGGTTACTTTTACTCCTTGCGTTGGCGTTGTTCCTCACATCTCTGCTTCCGGTTCACGCTGACAATGCTCCCGCCCCTTCACCCAAGTCAACACCATCGGCAGCGCCAGCCAAACCACCCTCTTCCACCTCTCCTCCGGCGGATTCACCGGCACCCCATCCAGCATCTCCTGCAAAGTCTCCATCTTTATCACCGCCTGCACAATCCCCGGCGGTTTCTCCATCTGGGTCTCCCCCTTCCCCGTCGCCCGCGGAGGTCCCCGTCGCTCAGCCACCATCTTCAATTTCTCCTGCTCCCAGTCCATCCCACCACAACGTGTCTTCGCCGCCGGCTCCATCTCCCGTGGCAGAGGCGCCAACACCGGAGTCTCCTGCCGGAATTCCCTCAAGTTCTGCCACGCCGACAGGTTCACCAGTGACATTGCCATCCAGCAGCGTCTCCCCAGGAACTGCTCCGGCGAGTTCTTCCCCGGAAAGTTCACAGGGTTCGGTTGGTGATGAATCGGGTTCAAGGTCAAATTTCGGGGCTCCAATGATTTTGGGTGGTTTGGCACTTTGGGTGGCCTTCACTATGATCTAAAGCATGGCATTAGGATTATTCTGTGTCGCATTTTTTTGAATAACCATTTATTGTTATTGATCAATTTTTTAGTTCCATTGGGTATTCATTATTTTGTACTAATTGGTTTTCTATATATGTCAGTTAATGTATTTTTCTTAACTTATTTTTTGTTCAATTTGGAAAGGGTTTTGGTTTTGGTTCCTGAAGAAGTAGAATAGGGTTTTTTTTCAATAATACTTACAAACAGGATGTTTCTAAATTAAACAATTTCAGTTTTTTCTTAACAAAAAAAAAAAAGTTGTTTCAGTTTATCATTGGCTTATTTAATTATTATTTTTTTCATAAAAAAGCATATGAAAAGATTAAAAATAATATATTTAATAAAATTAATGTAAGGAAAAATTCTGCTTACCTTATTACCTTATATATGCATATTCGAATCTTTTCTAGTTTAAATAATGAAATTTAGTTTGCTTATTTTATTTTAAATATTTTTTTATTAAAACTTAAATAAATTTATGAAAATTAAAAATTAAAATATAAGTGAACTAAGTATCATTTAACTTTTCAAAAGAACGTATTTATGCATTTATTTCTTTTATTTTCTAAAAATTCATAAAAGAAAAATCTTTAAACTATTTTTTTATCTTTAATGTTTCAATTTTTTTTTATTTATATAAAAACTTCTCGGAACAAATATTTGTCAATGGGAGTGGATAATATGCAAGTTATTTTATATATTATAATTATATTGTATTTATAGTTAATGTGAGATTTTATTACATTTTTTATTTTTTATATTGTTTACATCATAATCATAATTATCAGTGATTAAAATTGTTCACCGTTAATCGATGAAATTAAAAAACTAGTCAACTAATAAAATTGGTTTAGTTAAAAGAATGAGACTCATAAAATTGTACACATAAAATCAGGTTTTGGGATATGAAACTGGGAATTTTGGGTAGTAACAATAACTTAGTAGCTGTGAGCATGCGATTATTTGGTGCAGTGATAATTTAGCAAGATAGAGACACCACCATTGATTATTGATTCAGTGGATGAACAAAGCCTCACAGTGAGTGTAGGAACATTGTAGTTGGCCTTTGTCAATGGCATGATTCAACAAATTACCACCAACAAAAAGCTCCCATGCATGGCAAATTGCAAAGCGACTTCACTAGCAACTCATCTAATCTCACTCACCATGCAAAGAGTATGACTAGAAAAATGAGCTTATAATCTCACATTTTCAACCCCATTAGAGTGGAATACATGCAAAACAACCTTGTCAATTGCTTATCCACACACACACACACTCAAACATGGGAACCTACGTGGAAGAAAGCTTCTCAGGGGAGGAGGAACATGTCTTTCGAAGTCAATATCCACCTGTCCCTATCCCTGACAAGGTGACTTTGCCAGAATTTGTGCTCCAAAATGCTGAACTTTATGCTGACAAGGTTGCATTTGTGGATGCTGTGACTGGAAAAGGGGTGACTTACAGTGAGGTGGTGAGGGGTGTGCAGAGGTTTTCAAAGGCCTTAAGATCTCTTGGTTTGAGGAAAGGGCATGTTGTGATTGTAGTGCTTCCAAATGTGGTAGAATATGGCATTGTTGCTTTGGGGATAATGGCTGCTGGTGGGGTGTTCTCAGGGGCAAATCCAACTTCTCATGTGTCAGAAATTAAGAAACAGGCAGAGTCTGCAGATGCCAAATTAATTGTCACAAATACCACAACCTTTGAAAAGGTACTGCTTCAAATACATCATCTACTTGCTTCTTTTTTTCATTTTCTTCTTGTGTAATTCATCTTCTTTTTTCTTTTAATAATTATTTGAAAGAGGTTTTTGTTAGGTCAAAATTTGAGAATAAATAAAATAAAAAGAGATATTATATGACTTTGATAATAATAAATATTAATACATTGAATTTTACCACAAATAATAAAATATGATAGTTTAAGTTAAAACATATTGTTTTATGAAATTAAATTTTCCTCCTCCATATTACACTTAATAAATTTTACTAAATATTCTACTTTTCAATAATTTTCAATTGATCATGTTTTTTCAAAGTTTGCGTTATATTAATCTGATATTATTTTATGTTTTATTTATAAAAATAACAAACGATGTAATTTATATACTCCAAAATAGGTTAAGATATAAATTATTTTGATCACCTTGTTATTGTTATTAAATATTAATGCAATTTAATATAAATATTTATGATAATATGAAACTATAACTTTGTGATTGAATCAATAAAATTCAGTTTCGATTTAAACTTATTGATTATGAAACATTTGATAAAAATTATATAGATGTAATTTGATCTTTCCAATATATATATATATTAAAATTTCATAAAAAAACTAGGATTTAAAAACTTATAATTTCTGATTTTTTGCTACTAATTGATTATATTTATTACAAATTCTAAATTAGTTGATAGAGTAAAACTTGACAGTTATAATACAGAGAAATTGGAGTCTTAAATAAACCATGGCATTTGAGATTTTTTGAGTTGATATGAACACAGGTGAAGGGTCTAGAACTACCTATTATAGTGGTAGGAGATGAAGTTGTTGAAGGTGGGATGAATTGGAAGAAGTTGCTTGCAGCAGCAGACAGGGCAGGTGATGATTTTGCAAAGGAGGCTATTCAGCAGAATGATCTTTGTGCCATGCCATTCTCATCAGGCACCACAGGAATGTCAAAGGGTGTGATGCTCACTCATAGAAATCTGGTGGCTAATCTTTGCTCTACACTCTTCAGTGTGACTAGGGAAATGGAGGGCCAGGTCACCACACTAGGCTTGATTCCATTCTTTCACATCTATGGCATAGTAGGAATATGTTGTGCCACTCTTAGGACCAAAGGGAAAGTTGTGGTTATGGGAAGGTTTGACTTGAAAATGTTTCTCAATGCCTTGATCACACATGAGATCACCTTTGCAGCCATTGTGCCCCCTATCATTCTCAGCTTGGTCAAAAATCCCATAGTAGATGAATTTGATCTCACCAAGCTGAAACTGCAGGCCATTATGACTGCAGCAGCACCACTTGCACCAGAACTCCTTAATGCTTTTGAACGTAAATTCCCTGGCGTTGCTGTCCAAGAGGTTGGTACACCATTCATCTACACTGTTCATTAATTCACCAAGCTTGTTACCCTGGTGAAATATTCTTTAAATAAATGGTCTAAAACCACCATATATGTCTATAGTTCTGATTGATTTTCATGTGACATAGTTCAGTTTCAATAACTTTCTCATAAATTATATGCTGTGTAATGTTATGCATGTTTAGTATGGTGTGTGTATCTTCCTCAAGTGCTAGTTTTGTTTGGTAGGCATATGGACTTACTGAGCATAGCTGCATCACACTCACTGATGCAGAGAAAGGATTGGGAAGTCCTCATAAAAATTCAGTGGGCTTCGTCCTCCCAAATTTGGAAGTCAAGTTTGTTGATCCTGACACTGGTCGATCCCTTCCCAGGAACACACCTGGGGAACTTTGTGTAAGAAGCCAATGTGTTATGCAAGGTAATAATGGAGAAATAACCTACCCCAATAAACCATCCATAAATCAGACTGTGGATGAATATAAATTATGTGTCTTTTTCATTAGGTTACTATAAACAGGTGGATGAGACTGCACAAACCATCGACAGGAATGGATGGCTTCACACAGGTGACGTAGGATTCATAGATGATGAAGACAGTGTCTTTATCATTGATCGTATCAAGGAGTTGATTAAATACAAAGGCTTCCAAGTAAGTTCTTGATATTTAACATGTTTACAGGTACTGAAAAAATTCTTATATTGTAAGAGCCAGATGAACAAACAATTTCCTATAAGTTATTTTTGATTGGATGATAACCAAAAACCTCTTATTGTCATTGAATTTAAATTAAACTGAAAACAAATAGTCTGAAACTTGAAAGGCTTGGACATTACATTCACATTCATGCATTACTCAGTTCTCAAATAAAGGCTGAGGATTTGGTCAAAATGTATACTGCAATTATTTTGGCATGAAAGTATGGATATTAGTGAACAAAAGTTGGTGAAGGTTAGGAATCAAATTCCCATGTAGAAGCCAAAAATTAGTAATGTCATTTTGGCCACATACAGGTTGCTCCTGCAGAGTTAGAGGCCATTTTGCTGAGTCATTCATCAGTTGAAGATGCAGCTGTAGTGCCGTAAGTAACCAAAATCATAGTCTTTGTCAATATAGTTAACATAGTTAATCTCACACTTGTATTGGGATTTTAGTTTTGAAGAAAGTGATTGCAATGTCATGTGTTTTTTTTTTTTGTTTTTTTTTTCTATAATGGTTGGTTAGATTGCCAGATGAAGAGGCAGGGGAAATCCCTGCTGCAAGTGTAGTTTTGAGCTCTGGTGCAAAAGAGAGTGAAGAGGACATCATGAACTATGTTGCCAACAATGTTGCACATTACAAGAAAGTGAGAGTGGTGCACTTTGAGGAAACCATACCAAAGTCACCCTCTGGGAAAATAATGAGGAGGCTCATTAAAGAGAAGATGGTTGAAAAAATAAAGACAAGTTCCTTAACAAAATCTAAGAATGTTTAAAATCACAGGCAAATTTGTATTTTGATTTGATCATTCATGTCTGCATTATCAGGGTTGCAAACTTGTTGAAGTGATGACTAGTTTGATATGAGATTTATTGTTTACTACTTGTTGAGAGAAATATTTAAAAAATAAAATTTGAGACTCTGGTAGTAAGTTCTTTGAATTTCCCATTTGCTTGTCTATTATTACTTTTATAGAAAATTTGTCAAACTTTAATCTAAGGTGTGTTTGGAACTCTTTGAGAAAGTTAATTGAAAAATGACTTTACTTTAATTACTTCAATTCAAACATAACAAAAGAATCTATATTTTTACATAAGAAGAAAATATCTGAAACTGAAAACGAAAATACTAAATAATCTTATGCTAAACAGTTTCAGAATTATAAAAACAGCAACTTACATTTTAAAAAAATGTTTTTTTTTTATAAATTTTAATTGATATTGTAAACATTCATAGGAAATTATAAACAACTATTTATTTCTTTAAAATCAACTTTAACCTTTGTCATGATGGATGATAGAACTTAAGAGAGTGAAAAAAAAGAATTAAAAATGAGATTATTTGAATTAATGAAAAAAATTAATAGAAAAATTATAAATATACCTGATTGATGTCATAAAAATAAAAAAGTCATTAGGCATTTTTTTAATATATTCCACTTTTATTTATAAAAATAGATAGAGAAAAAATATATTTTTACATAATCCATCACATTAAAAACATAATATCACATGCAAAATATATTGTTTTTAATCTTATGTAATCTATTATAGACATATTTATGTATCTTATAATAACAAAATTAATTATTTAAATTGATTGTATAAATTTTAAAGCATCATCAATGCTGGTTTGTAACCCTATTTTGCAATAAGCTCATCAAATTTACAAAATTCATATTCCACCCAATCTATATCCTCAAATTTTCTGAAAATCAAAAGAATCATAAACACATACTTTAAAATTCCTGAAACAAACAAAGGTTAAAATCTCTAAAATAATAATATTTAATTAAACATGTTTTAGTTAGAGTCATGTTATTATTGTTTCATCACTCAATGTGAAGAACAAATAATTTTATTGAAACCAATAAAATAAATAAACTATTATGCATGTATCAAGAAAAGAGTAAAATGTTTTTTTTTTTTAATTGTTGATAACAACTTAACTATCTAAGTGTAAATAGCTGCATATTTTTCATATATTTACAACAAACAAAGAGAAGTTCTGTTATATTTTTTATTTGATATAAACTGTTGAAATAATAACTAACTCAATATTCCATTAATTTACGCACTTATATCAACATTATCTTTGTTTGTAGTTTTGTTTAGATTTTGGATTTAATAATAAATATATATTTTTTAGATTTATGGTGGAAAAATCTCCCATTTCTTATGAACAGTTAAGGATTTAAATCCAGTATCCAATTCTATCTCAAACACATCTTACAAAATCTGCATTAGCAAACAACTCAATGCTGAGTCAAATGATACCTTACAGAACTTATAATCTAGTTTACATGACTGTATTTGGTTAAAAATAGGTTAGAAAAATTACAAAGTTTTACAAACTTATCATGTAAATATTTAAAAAAAATGTTAATATTATTATATTAAATGTATATAATATATTAACATTATATTTATTTATCTATTTTAACTGTTGATTTACAAAATTATCAAAAGATAAATTTTATATTTTAATTAAAGACATAGTTATATATATATATATATATATATATATATATATATATATATATAGTTAAACATAAAATATACATTACATAATTATATATAAAAATTATAATGATTAATAAAATTATTTAAACCAATAAGTGTTTTGAAAGATGATTTAGTAAAATAGTCTTTTAGGCAAGAAAATATTTTCATGGGTTAGACCTTTAAATAAAGTTAAACCTATAGAAAATAAATAAATAAATTGGAGTCATTTTTTGTTTTTTCAACATAAGTGAAGTCCAACCCCACTGAAACCTAACTTGTTCCAACCTATTTTCCATCTAATCTTCATTCAGTTTCCACAGTCTGTTGTTTCTAGTATACCTTAAACCTCTCACATCCAAAGTTGTTTTTTCTATTAATTTCTCACATTCATTGGCACCTTCATTTTTCATTTTAACTCTGTAATCATTGTTGCTGTGCTGGGTTGTGACGACAAGTTATGTGTGGTATGTTAAGTTCAATGCATGGTTATCCAATTTCTTAGTCATTATTTTGTATTTTTGTGTATAAACTATGTTTTTGACATTTGAATATCTGTTTTGGATAATTGGAGTTCGTCTATGTATTTTGACACCGCCTGCATTTTTTTCTTATTTATGATTTTATTCATTCTAACTTTCATTGTGTCTATTTTTAGTATTCATACTAAAAACTTAGTTCTGGTGGGTAACTATTAGTTTTTTATCTTTCTAAGGGAAAGTTAATATTATTTGTTTTTTCTGTGGGCAGGTTGGCTGGCAAGTTATTCAAATGAAGAATAAAAATAAGAACAAAAAACAAAAACTGACGAGTGAGAAGTTCACATGGATGATTATGAACTTCTCTAAATTGGACGGCAAGGAAGTGTACTCCGAAAATTTTTTGCTTGGCTACCACACATGGTGCTTGATTGAATTCTTGTGTATTCAATAATTACCCTTTTGGCATGACTTTTTTTCATTAATATTTTGATTAGTTTTGTAACTTTGTTTACAGGCGGATTCTTGTCTATCCAAAGGGAGTCACTGTGGGATACTTGTCAATTTTTTTAGATGCTGCTGTTGTTAATTTGCCTTTTGGCTGGAGTAAATTTGCAAATTTTAAGTTGACTTTAATTAATCAGGTCAATGGCAAGAAGACTATAATAAGAGGTATCTTTTATAGCTTTTCAAATTGTGCTTAATGGAACTTGTGTTTGTTTGAAATTTCAGAGACTATGGTTGGTTAGATTTCACATTTTAGGTTGAATAGTCAGATTAGTTGTAGCATCCTTTAGTACTGTTTTTATCCTTTAGCTCTTAAGTTTTCAGATTCTATCTTTCCAGGTAGCATGTGTGGTTCAAGTTACTAATTTTTTAAACCATTTTATCAACTATATGCCAATTATAAATGTATGCTTGGTTCCACTCCCCCATCATACTTAGGGCTCTATTTTATCCATGGCAATGATAGAGTCATAACCTAAATGATTGCATAGGTGTGATATTCATGTAGATGTTTTTCTAGCTGTTGACAGTTGTAGATTCATTTGATAATCATATAATTTGATTTTTAGTCCAACTCACTGACATTATGAGTGAATTTGCCAGAAACTACAAAACAGTTCAATGCAAAAGAAACTGCTTGGGGTTTCCCAAAATTCATATCTTTAGATGAACTCTGTGACTCTAGAAGTGGGTTTATTGTGAATGATAATTGTATAGTTGAAGTTGAGATTTTGGTCAGCAAGTCAAAACAGGACAATCAAACATATCAACCAGTTAGCAAGATTGATGATACTCATGACCAGCCTAATAAACACAAGGAAACCTTCACAACCTCACTTAGCGAGCTAGTGGATTTAGGGAAAATTGAACAAACTTTTCTTCCACTTCTAGAAGAAGTATGCTCTCGACATCCCTTACTTATCAATAGTCAGCAGAAGAGAAGTAGTAGATTTGTTGAATGGGCATTCACAGCTTTAGGTCGAGTTCTACATTTTCTCAAGACAAAAAAGGTAAAAGATATGGATAATGATGCTTGTAATCATCTCAAAATCTTATGGGAGGAGTTGGAAACGTTTAAATTTGATTTGACATGGCTAGAACCTCATGTTCAGTCTGCCTTGAGTATGAAAACTCTCACTGAGAGAGCTGTAAAAGTGAAAAGGCTGGGGGAGAATGTTGATGCTTTAGAGATGAAAACAAAGAGGTTGAAGGCAGAGATGATTGAAGCAGAAATGAATCTTGCAATAGCAAGAAAAGAGTTGGTGAAAGCAAAAGAAGGCTTTCAAGAGTGCTATTTGGAGGCTAAACTTGGATATGGAATACCATGATTTAAAACTGGGTAACTTGTTGACGAATTCAGTATAGGTAGCCCAGATGTTTTTTGTGACATTTTTGCTGAATAATTGGATTTTTTGTAGACATCAATGATTTTATAAACTAAAATGCTTTGTTGTAAATTGAACAAGACAATTTTATTATATTAGTACTTTCTTCATGCATTATAGATTTTTTTTTGTGTGTTCATAAGTTGCTACTACTTAACTAATCATTTTCAACATGTGCCCTCAATATTTGGATGCCAATATTTTTATTAATCATCAATGAATGAGAAGATTCTGCATTGAGCCTAATCTCGTGGCTTAGATCACAAGTTAAACTCTAGCCCAATTAAAATGCAATCCTTACCTTTTCAAATCACATGGTATTATAAACAGAACATCTGCCTAAGTTAGAAACAGTGAAACAGGGAACGAAAATACCATATATAGGCTAAGTGAACTTTGCTCTATTGTCATTACTATTCCTTATCATGGAGCTATACATCCTAATATCCTTGGAGTTTTCTGGGGTATTTTTCGAAAACTGAAAGCTACTCAAGGGATCAACTTCTGTTAACAGATTTTTTTTTTCTCTACATAAATCTGAGAACAAATTCCTAACCAAATATTTAACATAACAATTATCTGACAATTATGTCATGCCATATTGATTTTAATTAACATTTATTATGGTTAAAAGTATGTATACCTTGCTAGTAAGTGAAAGATATCAATAGGTGGTTAAGATAAGCTAGAATTTAGTCTAAGTTGTCCCAACATTGACACGGGTGATAAGAGTTCTGCATTTAATAGCAAGTTTTGCATTTGCCAATAAGGTCCAAAACAGTTGGTAGATAATTGTTTTCCTTAAATATGTTAACAGTACTCAAAGTTCTCATTAGCTGCATGTACTTCATCAAAAGGGTTAAGGAAAAATGAAAAAACAAAACTTTAGTTCCAGTTTTAGTTTTACTCATTGACAGCTAGCAGAGCAAAGTCCCAACATTTACTGATTTAACACTTACAACTTTGGATCAAATTATCCATTTTCCTAAGGCTAAAAAGGTGAAAGGTATATTACGAACAATATGCTTGAAATCATCTTCAAATTTTATGGGATGAACTTGAGACTTCTAAATTTAATTTGATCTGGCTGGAATCTCTTGTTTAATTATGAAAAATTAATGGAGAGATTGTGATTGCCTTAGAAATGGAATTGAACTGGTTTGAGGAAAAGATGGCTGTTGCAGATGTACATCTTCTTGGAATAGCAAGAGAAGACTTTAGGCATGTGGAGAGGGATTTGAATGCTGAACTAGCATATGAAGGACTAAAGATTAAATTTGTGTACCTTGTTAAAGAAACTCATTGAATTGGAGGGAGTCCACAGGTAGTGTATATGTGAACAATTGAATATGAAAGTAGACATTTGATTAATAGGTACACATTTTTTACTTGAAAAAGGCAAACTAAATTAATTTTGTTAGAACCAAGTTGTTGGTAGGGACATCACAAGATGTTACCTCCACCAATACAACATGTCCAAAAACAGAGATTAGTAATTAGTACAGATTACCAGAAAAGGTAAAAAGTAATATAGTGCAATTCTTCCAGGCGACATGTTGGGTTTGCCATTAACAGAACAAAACATTAGCACAACCTTCTCCACACATGAATATTCATTGTTGAAAGTGCCGTAATTCCTATGTAACCACGATGAGTGAATAATATCACACCAGATCACCAAACACGGATTCTACAGCTTGCTTCTTGTCATGGTACATTGAAAAAAATAGGACACACGATCTGAAGGTATCCAGCGGTAACATATTTGCCGAACAAGATAAGCAAAGAAATATCGTGTTGAGAATTCAAGTGTGTTATGTTAAGGGAAAATGAAAAAGTTAGAATAGTTTATAAGTGAAAAAGATTATTAAGCTAATGCCTTAAGATCTTGAAATTTTGAGTTGAAAGTTGTGTCCCAAATACCCATCAAATTGAAATAAAGGGTGTTGAGCAAATTCCAAATCATTCATACAGAAAGGGCAAAAACAAATTCTACGTCTGATTCTAAAAACACCCTCCACACAAACACTAGAACCTGAGGGAAACCTATACATTAATATTCCCAGAGAAGTTAGAATTATGCAGCAGAAGGTACTCTTCTCTAACAGAATATAACCCTAAACTATTCCTAGACCAAAGCCAAACCATCCACATGGGTGATTCTGGGTCCAAGCATCACATTAATTAAATTTCTTTCCCTATCCACTAATTGTCTACTCCGGGGGAAATTCAAACCCTAACAGTTTCATTCCAACTTCCCATATTAGAAACCAACAACGCCAATATATTCAGAGACAAAGCATACAACCTTGGGAATTTAGATTTTAACTCACCTTTGAAAGATCCATCATCGTTCCAAAAGCTAAACATGTTTCCACATCCTCAGTTGAACCATTCTAATCTATAAACGATTGAATTTGAGAGGTAGTGACGTTAGACAAATGGCATAAAGAGGTTATGTAAAATAAAAAATTTATTTGTGAGTAAATAATTTAAAACGGAATCAATAATATAATTAGGAAAAGAAATAATATAATTAGGAAAAGAAAAAAAGATTAGAGAAAGAGAAGAGCACACGAATATTTATACTTGTTCGAGTATAGTCAATCCTCTTTGATAATCTAATATCAAATCAAGATTTTTAGAAAATTTTGAAATATTGCTTATTATTTTCTCTAACTTGAAAATCTCATTTTCCAAAAGATTACAATTTTCACAAGGTTTAACAACTTCTTTATTTTTAGACAAAGTTTTAGATTTCTCAATATCTTTCTTTAAGCACTCATTTTCTTTTTCAAGAATACCAACAGTATTTTCTAATGCATTAAAATTTTGCCTAAGTACATTGTATTTCTTAGATAACTTGGTAAAACCTTCATACATATCTTGATATTCTTTAAATAACTCATCATATTCATTTAAGGAATTTATACTACTTACCTGTGATAAGGCTTCATCATCACTTTTTGTCATCAAGCAAAGATTTGTTTCTTATTCTCCATCACTGCTTTCGGAAGAACTCTCTTGTATTGTGGAAGAATCATTATCCTCTCAAGTAATATAAGCTTTGCGTTTGCTCTTGGTATCGTTCTTTTCTTTCTTATTCTCTATCATATCTTTCTTCTCTTTCTTAATTTCCGGACAGTCTGGTTTGATATGACCAAGTTTTTCACATTCATAGCAATGAAATTTATTTGTTTTCTCCTTTCTTTGTTGTCTCTTTTTCCTGTTCTTCATAAAGCAAGAAAATTGTTTAACAAAAAGAGACATATCGGAATCCAAAAACTTACCTTCATTTTCGCTTTCGTATTGTGAAGATTTTTCTACTTTTAGAACTATCATCTTGGCTTGATTCTGTTCACCATTCGTTGACCTTTGTAGCTCCATCTCATGTTCTCGCAGCTTTCCAAATAGAGTAGCAATATTCATTTTTGTGAGATCCTTTGATTCTGTAATAGCAGTGACCTTTGGTTGCCAATTCCTGTCTCAGGATTTTAAGATCTTTGTGCTCAACTCCTCATTGTCAAAACTTTTTCCTAATTCTTTCAAGTGATTTATTATATGTGTGAAGCATGTCTAAAAATACGTGATGTTTTTATTTTGCTGCATTTGAAATAATTCATACTCCTGGATGAGTGTGTTCTTGCATGCTCATTTTACTTTATTTGTTCCTTTATATGTTACTTCAAGAGTGTCTCATATTTCTTTTGTCGTCTTGCATTGTGAGACCCTGAAAAATTTATTACGAGTTAAAGCAGAAACAATAACATTTCGGGTTCTTACATCATATTGGGCATGCTTGTTTTCATCTGACGTCCATTGGTCAAAAGTCTTTGGAACAGCTCCAAACTTCGTTTTTCTCATCAAAATGTAAGGACCATTGACTATACATCCCAAACACCATAATCTAGTGTTTGTAAAAATATTTCCATTCTCGCCTTCCAAAACTGATAGTCTTCACCTTCAAATAGTGGAGGTCTGTTTATTGAGGCTCCTTCCCTGTAAACCTGATTCTGTATAGACATCTTGACAGATCGTTTAGAAATATCTTATGTAACCAAGCTCTGATACCACTTGTTAGACAAATGGCATCTAGAGGGGGTGAATAGATGCACAAATTAAAATAGATGTCAAATTAAAAATTTATTTGTGAGTCAATAATTTATTAAAGCGGAAGCAATAATATAATCAGGAAAGGAGAAAGAGATAAGGGAAAGAGAAGAGCACACAGAGATTTATACTAGTTCGGGTATAGTCAACCCTATATCCAGTTCCCAGTCAACTCTTAATACAAGAGTGACTCCCCATTCACTATCTTTCAAATTCAGTTTACAAATTACAATCAACTCAACAGAAGAACCAGTAAAAAGTAAACTAATTAAAAAGACAATCACCTCCTTAGAAACCCACTAAGGATGAACACCTCCCTAGAATCCCACTAGGAATGAACACCTCCTCTGAACAAATCAAAAGATGAAAACAACTCCTTAGAATCCCACTAAGGATGAACACCTCCATAGAATCACACTAGGGATAAAAAACACCTCCTTTTCACCAATACAAAAAGGATGAAGGTAATAAAAATAAGAGCAGACACACCTGGGTAATAGAGATAACAAATTGTAGAAGCCTGTAGAATGTCAATCTCCAAGAACAAGTGTGATTAACAATGAAAGCACACAAGGCAGTAGAGAGAGGGTTTTCTCAAAAGGTGTAAAATATCTCTGTTGTCTTGCTCAGAATTCTTTTCTCAAAACTGATTGAATGTAAATTGTATTTTCGAATTCTGTAATTGTGTGTTTTTGATTTTTCATCAAAACTTAATTAAATAGAAAAATAGCATCAGAAAATGGCGGTTGGACATTAATAATATCATAGAGAAAATCAGGATGTATTAAAAAATATTTATTCTTTAAAACGGATATATTTTTTAAATTTGAATT